CTCAATCCTCTCTAGAAATACCAGATAACTTCAATGTAAATAATTTTGTGAGGAAAATCGATAAATGTTCACACTGTTACAGAATTATCTTTGTAGTTGTAAGTTTCGGCCTAATTTCCTTGAAGTCTAAGTTAAGTAATAAAGCTCAATTGGTAAACAAGAGCAACAATTTAAAGTTTTTTCAAATTTAAACGATTTTTTTATGTTTATGGGATCACAGAATGTTTAAACAAATTATGAATACAGGAAAAGACCACAATAACTGAAAAGCTAGGTTTATGAAATTACATAAACACTTAGTTTCTCCTCTATTTTTATCTGTCTTGGTAGGTTTTTGATCGTGAATTAATTCCAGTATATGTAATTTGAACCTAATAATCTTGTGTAAGAACAAATGTTTCAATTCCCTACCTTTAATTAATTTAACACAAAGATTTTTGTTCCTAGATTTACGACAATGTTATCATTGCTCAATAAAAAATTGAAGAAAGTTTGTTTACTAATCATAATACACTACCCTGACGTGTAAATGCGGGTACCTGCAAAACCAGTGGTATTGTCTGAAATACCTACAATATTTCCACACCCGTGATTTAGATAACTTTACTGAACATGAACCCTTTTGAAACATGGAAGCTGCGAAGCCACCAGAAACTGATGGGTCTGTTTCTGCTTAGTGTTTGGGCTTATATTACATACTGATATCATCACTGTCAGCACTGTTACAAGACTGCTTGTTTTATTATGTCAGGGCATTATATTTTTCACAATAATCTTATGAGCATATATTCTCATTATTAATATACATAAACAAATGTAGGTGGTTAGGGCACTCGACTCGCAATCTACAGGTCGAATCCCCGTCACACCAAAACATCCTCACCCGGTGTCCGGACTAGGACTCCAGTCCTACTCCTGGATACTTACCTCCAAAAGAATTTGGAGGTGTGAGAAACACCATATGAAACTACTACTAATGTTATATACTTTGCATGAAAATTTATTTGCTTCAAAATTCTAATGAATTGAAAATATTAATGTGTTGATCCTTGTTTCTTCGTTAGTATTATATTAACTTATTTTTTATATTTTTAGTAAGAATATATTTGTCATTATAGCATAATAAAGAGAAACACCTTGCGAATTAAACTTATTTCTTAGAGAATTTCCTAGAACCCATCGCTAGATATTAAAACCTTTCTGATTTAATTATCAAAAGTGCAATCTGTATACAGTAGTATACTAGAGAACGGCAGTTAGTTAACAGTATCAATTTCCAACTCTTGGGCCACACGTGTGTGGTCGAATAACATAGGCCTGCGATGGTTTTAGTGTTCTGAAATGCTTACATGGTCTACAGTAATTCCTGTACGCTGAATTCGAAAATGATATCCATTTTTTTTCCGTCACGTACAGATTTTTCACAAAACGTTATATCGTAATACATAAAACAAAGATCACAACACCTAGTGTTGAAACTAAAAGACGTATATTTCATAAAAAAAATTGGGATGAATGAGGATGTATATTCGTTTGACATCAATGTTCTTCCATTTTCTTCAGTTTGTTTATATTTTTGTTAACAAACAATAATAAAAAGCTTTTCATTGTGGTAAACGAAATAATAATTTGATCTAAGTAAGAATTTTATTTTTTTCCCGATTTGTGAAAAATCTTTACTTGATAGAAATAAAATGAATATTATTTTCGAAACCTGCTTAGCTGAATTATGGAAAATCCGTTTAAATTCGCAGGCCTGTGTAACTAAATTTGACTATCACGCTTAGAGCGCAACCACCGTCCTAAAATGCGAAGCGCGTTTTTTTTTTGCACCAACGGGAACGCAAACCATGAACCCTTGAATCCACGTCCGATCATGACTGTAACTAACCACTTATTGTTTACAAACAAAGAATATTTTGCCCTATACGAGTTTATTAAAAAAGTTGATATATTGATTTTCTTTTTACTATCAGCAGGTTGTCTTTATATTCTTTTGTTTTGGACTTCAAGTTGTTTATAATGATGTTTGTTTATTTTGTTTATTTACTACCAGCATGTTATCTATATATATTCCTTTGTTTTGGACTTCAAGTTGTTTATAATGATGTTTGTTTGTTTTGTTTCTTTTACTACCAGCAAGTTGTCTTTATATTCTTTTGTTTTGGACTTCAAGTTGTTTATAATGAATTTATTACTATCACAATGTTAACTGTTTTGTTTTGGACTTCGAGTTGTTTATAATGAGTTCATTACTATCACAATGTTAACTATATATATATATATATATATATTGTTTTGTTTTGGACTTCGAGCTGTTTATAATGAATTCATTACTATTACAATGTTAACTATATATATATATTATTTGTTTTGGACTTCCTGTTGTTTATAATGAATTTATTACTATCACAATGTTAACTATATATTGTTTTGTTTTGTCTTCTGAAGTTGTTCCTAGGGATACTATTTGTATTCAAGCTTGATTCAGTCTTTCTTAATTTTATTTTATTTTTTGTAGATTTCTAGTCAGATATGTGAAAAAATAGCATTTAAAACCTATCTTTTGTCTGCCTTAAATAACTATATAACCTTTTACTCAATACAAGGACTCAAGCAGGTTGTACAGGTACCAGACATTGTGTAAAATTGTATTTGTATGCAGAACGTCTCAGTTGCAGAAAGAGTTAAGTTTGCCAAACCAACGAAAGTGGTGAAATCTCGACTAACTGTACATGCTTTTTAAACACATATATCTTAGTTTGTTCTCACATAGATCTGACTTGAAATAAATATTTAAATAGTTAAAGAGAACGTAAAAAAATATGGGCTATGAATAGCCATTTATCAACATTTTGTCCGGATAAATGAATTTGAAAATAAATTTCTAATTTAATATCCAATAAAATCTTAAATATAATAGGCGACTAAAACCACTAGCATTTAAGATTTTTTCTTGTACGTCAAATACTGACTAAATGGTTTTTATGGTCTTATTCGCTCTAAATTGAATTAGACAGGTTTTATGTAGTTTACGTATTACGCATCAACATTTATATTTTTCAAAATGAATGTTATATGTACAAATCTTATGTTGTTTTTTTTCAACTAAACATTAACTTATATAAGTCATATCTACCACTGACATGACTTATTTGTGAGTGTTGTTTTTCATTTCATCTTTCAATGCTATTTTAAGTATCAACCAAACATTAACTTCTATAAGTCAAACCTACCACTAACATGACTTATTTGTGAGTGTTGTTTTTTATTTCATCTTTCAATGCTATTTTAAGTATCAACCAAACATTAACTTCTATAAGTCAAACCTACCACTGACATGACTTATTTGTGAGTGTTGTTTTTCATTTCATCTTTCAATGCTATTTTAAGTATCAACCAAACATTAACTTCTATAAGTCAAACCTACCACTAACATGACTTATATGTGAGTGTTGTTTTTTATTTCATCTTTCAATGCTATTTTAAGTATCAACCAAACATTAACTTCTATAAGTCAAACCTACCACTGACATGACTTATTTGTGAGTGTTGTTTTTTATTTCATCTTTCAATGCTATTTTAAGTAATACTTTGTTTATAAGGTGCATGCGAGTGCAGGTTAAGGCTTTCGTTTCATTTATTTCGGACATTTTGTAAAAACTACAGGAAAGCTACATGCCCTAAAAATCAGGTGAGTCAGCTAGTTAACAGCAAACACAGTGGGCTACTCTAATCGAATAGTTGATTTGGCCGTCATTCTTATAACGTAACTATGTCCAAAAGTGCGGACCGTGATTTTGCGGTAACTGGACGCAAACCAATGGGCTCTCGGAGCTAGTTTGGAACGTTAACTAATAAGGGCCACGGCTCGTAGGTCAGAGTTGGCTAATTTGTATACATATTTGTTGTATTCATTTCAGTAATTTTATTAGTTTGTCTTCATTTATTTAACATCAAAGTCACATTAGTAATTATGGTATAGATACATTGACATAAGGTCACATTTTTTTTGCCCCAAGTTCGTTATTTAAGCATTTGTGTATTTCAACTTAAAATAAAGAAGATAATAAGATATACTTTCCTCGTAGTTTTAATTGCATCTGAAATAATACAAAGAGTAGTAATTTTGGTACAGATACATTGACATAATGTCACATTAGTAGGTATAGATACATTGACATAAAGTCACATCAGTAGGTATAGATACATTGACATGTACGAGGAAAGTATATCTTATTATCTTCTTTATTTTAAGTTGAAATACACAAATGCTTAAATAACGAACTTGGGGCAAAACAAAGCGGAAAATAAAGATATTAATATTTGGTCTTTTGTGTTTCTTTATTTAACAGTAAATTAATCACAACTAACGTTGTATATATAACAGGAAATGTTTTAATTAAACAACAGGTCTGCTGTAGAATATACTGAATGATAAGTTCCAAATCGCTTTAAAAAGTGTTTTCCAAATTTTATATCCTTCTGCAGAAATATCTCATGTCACTCAAAATATATCTTTTCAGATCATTCGCGTTTGTTGTTGATGATTTTTGTCTTACATGAAACGAAACAAGATGTAATAATGGAAGAAAGCTTATTGCAATGGGAGCCGTATATAAAATTTTATAATCTGGTGTTTATTAAAAAAACTCATTCTTTTCAAAACGCTAAACTGTGCGTTATCATTCTAAAGCAAGTGAAACTGAAACTATAAAGTTTCATTGTCTAAGAGCACTAACTTTTATCTTTGTTATATGTTTCATAGCGCAGTTGAAGAAATGTCTTACCCTTGTTTTATATGCGAGTAAATGATGCTTTGAAAAGAAAGCTAACCACTATAAATCAAAGGTAAACTACTTTAATTACCATTTGGATCATGTCCAATCAAAAATCAGTTTTTCATATAGAACCATTATTCGCCCAATCAAAAAACAGATATCTAAATATAGAGCCCTTGTTCGTTTTCACACAGCTCTAAAGAAAATACCTTATTTGAAGACTTCTGTCTGTAGCCTCTCAGCTCTTTTTACGCCGTTTCAAGACGTATACGTCCTTCCTATATCATAATTGATGGGACTACGGTTGCCTAGAAACGATGATATAACGTTTATAAGAGCTTCTATCGCCAACATGCTCGACTATTGACCGGAAAATTCCTGGATAATAAAAAGGTAAAATAAGAAGAAAGGCGAACAATCATAAACAAGATGATTTCGACTAACGTGATGTCTTTCATGAAGAAGGTAAGATGTAAAGAAGAAGAGTACATATGTTTCTTTCCGTTTCAGAATTATACGTAGTGTTTTGTTGTTTTTTCACCTATGGAAAACTATTTAATTTATAAGTCGTCTACATAGTAGAGAGAAAGGAAATGTAGTTTTTCATTGAAGTTCATTTGAATACAAAAACAAAGAGCGATATTAATTTTTGCATGTTCTGAATTGAAATTATAAATTATTGCTTTTTCATAATCAGAGACTTATCAAGGTATGGCACAAACAAAATTAACTCACTGTTTCATGACACTTTTGTATTTACCTATTTGTTTAACAGTTTAAAATGCATATCTATTCTCCTGTATGACTACAATTTTTAGGTGTTTCCTACAATTTTCTGTTAAATTTCACTTACGTTAAATTTCTATTTACATGTAATTAATTTTCTAATCAAAAACGCATTTATTAATAATGGTGACCCGCAATTAAAGTTAACGTGGTTAACATAAAAATATAAGGTTTTGAATCTAATCACTCAGTTGTACAAAAGTTTAGACCATGCGTATTTAAAGAGAAATGTTACACCATCTTCTTATGAGGAAATTCCTTAGGAAAAGAAAACCCAGTAAGAAATGGGACCCATTCTTGCTTAAAATTTCTTAGATAGTGAAGCCATCTAGAGACGAGACTGGAGAGGCTTCTGGCCCAATGAACAAGTTGAAACAAACAGTAACAACAGGTCTTCAAGAGATGTCTATCGCTCGAGAACAAACGACTTCCAGCAAAACAAGGAAAACAGCGACATCGCGTCTAACACCACAGGAAAGGTCTATTCTTAGGATGATATGGCAGAAAAATGATGACATTGAAGAAGAACCTCGGAGAGCAAGGTTTATACTTTGCATTTATTGTCTGAAATATATTTTTGCAATCATGAGGAAATATATTTATCAGTATTGTGTTTATGTTGCTTTAAGGTATATATTGACATATTCAAAACTTGCATAATAAATATCATTACTATATTTGGATATTCAACTTTTAACTACAGAGTAACTAAAGTATTAGGTCATCAGGAAATTAATGTCGCGTTTTGGAACACTTTCATTAACCCCGCCAAAAAACGTACTTTACGTATAATAGTTAAACGAACCGTCTAAACGTCACTTTATATATATAGCCTATATAATGTGTAAAATTTAGTATACTCTAATCCCTTATAGTGAAGGCTCACAACGAGACACACATTCTGCATATAATGCTGTTTGAATACGAG